GGACAAACAGCTAGCAACATAACGGCACACGTCATGTGACCAGAACCAGGAATGTTAATCATGCTAAGGAAGTTGTTTAACATTAGTGTCCCGAGCCAACACACAGAGGGAGGTTCTGCCTACAGCTCAGGAACAATCGGTCCAACCTGCATCCGGCTGGATCCGTCTCATGGTAGCGGTTAATTCATGACTGACTGACGAGGCTGCCGACTCAGTGAAGGAAGATATTTAAAACTTGCATCCTGAATCAAAACATAGAGGGAACTTCTAAATTTGCCAGAATCCAGTTTTCTCTCCTCCCCACAGTCTGAATCCAGATCCTTTCAGCAGCGCCGCCCCGTGGACGTCCTGGCGTTCCACATACGTGTGCTTTCTAACACTAGAACCACGAGTTGGCCTAAATCGATGCCTGAATCTGCACTTCTACTGCGTTCATCCACGTACCAGCACCGGGAAGCCTTGCCACATCTCCTTCAGTTCGTACAGCCAAGGTTTCTGGAAGGAGAGACAGGATGTGAGTGGGGCAGCAGAACTCCACAGGTGTATTACATCAGCTGACTCAGCTTCAGCCCGACAGCAGGAAGCAAACCGCCGAGCAGGTGAGAATGAGGATGTGTTGGAGGCCAGCGCGGCGGTACTCACGTCGATGAGGGCGGCCAGGCCAGCAATGAAAGCAAGAAGGTAAAAGGTAAATCTCCAACTGCAAGAGAACACACACATACAAACACACCTTCTGCTCAGTCAGTGGGAGACACAGGAGACACATTTCCAGCAGCAGCAGCAGACACAGAAANCAATATCTACTTTTACAAAGCTATAAGCCTCTTAATGAATAAACAAATCATTTCAGCTTCATCTGGAGCTCTGTCTTGCGAAGACGTCCTGATTTTTGCTTCATGACAACGCAACGGATGTAACGGATCAGATCACATGATCAGATCACGTGATCAGATCACCTGGACGCATCAGAAATGATTCTGAGCTTTATGTCGCCTGAAAGACGCAGCAGAGAACATTTCAATATCCGAAGTTTGCTTTCTGTGTAGAATAGAGCGGCGACAACAAATTGACAAAAAAAGTCTGAATTCTGTGATTTCAGCTTCTTCAATGTAAATATTTTCAGTTTTTTCCGTCTGTGTCACTAAACTGAAGCTCTTTGGACAAAACAAGACGTTTGAAGAAAGTCTGATCCACATTTTTTACCATTTTCTGACACTTTAAAGACCAAATAAATAATCTGAATTAAATCAACAGTGAATATATCTGTTCCCTGCAGCCCTGGAAGCTGAATCCAATAAGTTTTGACTAAACGTCCTTGCCAACGCACAGATGCATAATTTCTATAAATAATTCCACAGATTAAAAATGCATTAACCAATAACGCACAGGACGACAGACGTGCACGTCAGGAACGTGTTGTACATTAGCTGTATTACCCGGTATCCTGTGATGCTAAACATCTGCTGGCCAGAGCTCCCACGCTGACGGGACAGTAGGAGCGTCTGAAGTCTACAAGACCTGAGTTACTGGTTGACTAGTCTGTGAAGATCCTCAGTCCTCCAGGTCCTGGTTGTTCTGGTAGATTGATCGTAGCAACTGGACCTGCTTGAGTTCCTTGAAGACGTTCCACCTCCATCCAGGAGGCTTCATCAGCTCTGACTGACTAGTTGGGAGATCCAGATACTGATATCCTGAAGGAGACACTAACACCTGAGTTTCGACATAACGAGGGGGAGGTTGAGGGTGTTAACGGCTCCTTCAGGATATCAGTATGTGGAACTCCCAACCAGTCCGTCAGAGCTGATGAAGCCTCTTGGATGGAGGTGGAACGTCTTCAAGGAACTCAAGCAGGTCCAGCTGATACCATTAATCTACCAGAAGAACTGGTTGATTGGCTTTA